GAGGCGGGCGTTGCTCCGGTTCCGACTCCGTCGGGATCGTGCAGAGAGGACTTGCTCATGAGCGAGATTGCGGAGGAAATCCACGAAGATCTTGCCAAGGCGTGCCCTTTTGTTGCGTCAGTGACGTGCAACGGACCTTTCGACGACATGTGCAGCTTCGGCGTGACGATCAGTGAGACACGTTCCTGTACAGAGGAAGTGCGAGGAAGGATCACGCGGAAGGTGAAGAGCGAATTCGTTGAAGCAAGGAGGTATGGATGTACTTCCGACAAGAACCTTGTCTGCTCCTATGATGATGCTCCTCAGCCGATTCTGAGATGTGCCCTCACTTCTCCTGGCCAATCGCGCGGCGGGCAACCCGAGCTTTAGTAGTGTTCGTTTCAAGTTTAAGCATTCGCGCTAGTTCGGTGGCAACTCATGGGAGCCTCTCATCATACCATCTTGCCGGTTCTTGCTTCCCGATGCTGATCGACGCGAAATCGACGCTGCACATCGACGCGAAATCGACGCTAGCCGACGCTAGCTCGGCGCTGCCTCATCGACTCCAGACGCTAATCGACGCCAAAGACGGAACTATGAGGGTACTCCAGATTTCGTAATAAATGGGAGGGGGTCTGGACCCTCCAAGACAAGCCATTTCAGACCCCCCCCCCGTGGGAGAACCCTCCCAAACATCGTCCCCAGACCCCCCAGGCCCTCCAAGATAGCCTGGAAGAGACCCCCCCCGAAATGAGACCCCCCTCCCTTGATTACGAAATCTGGAGTATACCAGGCTCCCATGCTTTGCCACCGAACGCCAGTACTGCAACCGTACCCGTGCGAAGAGATGGGCTCTGGGCCAGGGCACAGCAGCAGCGGGCGCAGCTCCTCGGCACGCGAGGGCGTGCGGAAAAAACGCCGCGGGCCGCCACGGGACCTGCTCGGTCTTCGGCGATGGCTTCTTTTCTCCGCTGCGCGAGGCCATTCCATGGCACCGCGCGAGGCGCGAGCCACAGACTCCCCCGTGCTTGCTCAGCTAGGCGAGCCGGCTCCTCGAGCACACAAAAGAGCCTCTGACTCGATCGTAGCGCAAGGGAGACGTGGCCTCATCTCGGGCACCCGTCTTCGCATTTTTTAGGGAGACGGCGTCTGGGCGGCTCGGTCCGCGACGTCTGCAGCAAGGACCCCCCTTGATCCCTGGTGGTTTGGGCCCTCTTCGATGGGGTCCCATCCCGCTCCTCCTCGATGGGGTCCTCCTCGATGGGGTCCCATCCCAACGGATTCGCGGCACTTTTACATTGCTCATGACCCGTCTCCCCTCCTGCCTGCGTTTCCGGTCGGTGGCCCGCCTCGCTGCCCAGGCCTCCCCCCCCCCCCAGGGAGCCGAGTCTCTCGGGGCCCTCGGGGCCCGCCGGACCTGGCCGGGGGCCTTCCTTGGGGGGGGGGGGGGTCCAGACTCGGCCCGGCGAGGGCTACTGGCGTGAAGGTGGAGGGCGACAGGGAGGAGGAGGAGGAGGAGGAGGAGGAGGAGGAGGAGGAGGAGGAGGAGGAGGAGGAGGAAGAGGAGGAGGAGGAGGAGGAGGAGGAGGAGGAGGAGAGGAATGACAGGGAGGAGAGATGGGGGCGAAGACAGGGCAGAAGTGGGAGAGGGGAGGGGAGGAAGAGAGGGAAGGGAGGTGGAGGGGGAGGATAAGGAGGAGAGGACTTCATGGAGGCACCCCGGGGGGGTTGGGGGGTTCGGGGGGCGCCTATCTTCCCTTCCCTCTTGTCTTTCCTCCTCTTTACGTGCTGGGCTGGCACGTTCCTTCAATGGACTTGCGGACTTACGACTTACGCGTGCACCCGTGCACCCGAGGAGGCGGACGAGGAGGGGACGAAAATAGAAGACAGAAACCGATGCACGTGCGCCGATCCAAGCCAAGCCCATCCTAGGGGCCCAAGGTCGGGTCGCACGCCCTCCTGACCCAGGAGTGCATGTTTAATTTATATTTAGAAGGTTACACGACTGATATAAGTATGTCGATATCTGGATATATGTATACAAAGATCTATACATATGTACATAGTTGTGCGTATGCATGTGGAGAGGGTGCTCGAGCAGATCCTTCCAAGGTTCATGTCGACGACGGTTGTCGGCGGCTGGTGCGCGGGTGTTTTTTGGCGCCTGTTTCGAGCGAGTGGAGTCTCCGCCAGAGGCAGCATTATTGCAAACAGTCGCACTATGCAGAGGTCTGGAGCCAGACCCCCCCCATCCCCCCCCCTTGTCCGCCCAATGTCGAAAAAAACGCTCACCAGTTAGGTCCAGAGCACACCGAGAGCGTCGCCAATCGCTCCGCGAGCAACTGCACCGACGCGCAGAACAGCACCGCCAACGCCTCCAGGCCGAATGTCCACCCACGCCCACGGCATGGGGGCACGAAAGCAAGCACCGCAGCCGCATGCTCCTCGCCAAGACAGCCGACGAGGACGCCGTCCCCGTGCAGGAAGCCAGCCGCCCTCGCGTCCGTCGCCTACGGTCGGGGCGCTGAACAAGGAACCTTTTTCGTTGTGGAGGGGCTCGGTGTTCCTTGAGTGTTTCACAGTTTGCCTCAGGTTTTCCTGAGGCTTTCCATGGGAAGTCGAAGTTCAACTCATGGAAGCATGGGTCCTCGTTCCTTCTTGAGGGTTCCTTGGGTCAACGCCCCGACTGTACCTCAGCCAGATCTGGAGCCATGATTTTCACAGTGGACTCGACCTCACCGCTAAGGACACGGAGCAGAGGATCAACCAGCATCTTTCTGCCCAGAGCAGCCCATAGCAGACATGGTCGTTTGCAGGAAAGCAAGGTGGCAGAGACGGCTCCAGCCCAGCGGGGCAGATGAGGCCTTCACCCGTAAAGACGCCTCCGACATGGCCAGCACTGCCGAGCACAGCATCAGGGCGCAATCGATGGCACCCGCCGCTGCGCCTTCGCGGCCAGCAGGGCCAGCTGCTGCCACGAGGTCACCAGTGCAGCCGAAGCCCCACCGTGGCCCCATGAGGAGGTCGCCCGAGGCTCTTGCGCGCAGCAGGCCGAATGTCATGCAGCTCGGAAGGCGGCACGCCCATCACACTCACACCCCACAGCGCCGACGCTGTGGGGCCACCTCTCTGGATCCACGTCGTGTCGGCTCCGGCTCCCCTCATTCTCACCAGGCGGCCAACTGCTCTCGAGGCTTCACTCCGCCTGGCGGCAGCGATGCCGACCCTCCGAAGGCCTCCCAGCTTCGCGCCGGTACCCAGGTTCCTAGCCATCTGCGCCAGATTCCCCGACGGAGATGATCAAGAGCCATCCAGAGCAGCAGCCAGGCTGGGATCAAATGCTAACAACTTTCGCTTGCCAACATTGACGGGCAGCTGCACGTCCCCGAAGTCTCCCAGCAGCTGCTCCATGGCACTGGCCCAAGACAGCAGCCTGGGGGTTAAGAGGATGATGAAGAGGAGGAGGAGGAGGAGGAGGAGGAGGAGGAGGAGAAGGTGAACTCACAGGAGGATGAGGAGGATAAAATGGATGATGACGTGGCGGTGATGATGATGCTGATGATGATGACGATGCTGATGATGATGATGAGGATGATGATAATGATGATGGTGATGGCGATGGTTATGGTGATGATGATGGTGGTGATGATGTCGCTGCTAATGATGATGATGATGCTGATGATGATGATGATGATGATGATGATGATAATGATGGTGGTGGTAATGATGATGATGATTATGGTAGTGGTGGTGAAGGACCATGATCCTGATCATGATGATGATGATGATGATGACGGTGATGATTCTGATTATGGTTATGATTATGCTGATGATGATGCTGCTGACGATGATGATGCCGATGATGATGCCGATGACGATGATGATGCTGATTATGATGATGATGATGATGCTCCTGGTGCTGATGATGATGATGATGATGATGATGGTGGTGATGCTGGTGGTGCTGCTGATGATGATGCTGACGATACTTCTGATGGTGATGGTGATGGATGTGGTGCTGATTCTGATGATGACGACAATGATGATGTTGGTGATGGCGCTGGTGATGTTCATGGTGATGGTGATGATGACTATGATGATGATAGCGAAAACGATGATGACGATGATGATGCTGCTGCTGATGATGATGGTGATGGTGATGGTGATAGTGATGATGATGTTGCTGATGATGATGTTGTTGGTGGTGATGATGGTGATGGTGGTGTTGGTGATGATGCTGATAATGACGATGCTGACGATGATGACGATTATGGTGATGATGATGATGATGATGATGGTGGTGGTGATGATGATGCTGACGATGATGAGGCTCATGCTGATGATGATGGCGCTAACGATGGTGATGATGACGATAGTGATGATGATGCTGTTGATGATGGTAATGATGATGACGATGACGACGATGATGGCGATGATGATGTTGTTGTCGGTGTTGTTGTTGCGGCTGCTGTTGCTGCGGTTGGTGATGATGATGGTGGTGGTGATGATGATGCTGATGATGATGATGACTATGATGATGATGCTGATGATGATGCTGATGATGACGATTGTGATTACGATGGTGATGCTGCTGATGATGCTGATGCTGATGCTGATGATGATGATGCTGATGATGATGCTGATGATGATGATGACGATGATGATGATGATGATGATGATGATGATGATGATGATGATGATGATGATGATGATGAAGCGGAGGAGGAGGAGGAAGAGGAAGAGGAGGAGGAGGAGGAGGAGGAGGAGGAGCAGGAGGAGCAGGAGGAGCAGGAGCAGGAGCAGGAGCAGGAGGAAGAATCGAGGGAAGGAGGAAGGGAAGAAGAGGAGGGGCATCGAAGGGGGGAGGGAGGATAGAGGAGGAGGAGGAGGAGGAGGAGGAGGAGGAGGAAGAGGATCGAAGGAGAGCGGGTGGTCCCGTCTCTGGCCTGCGCGCTGGCGACGACACGACCACGCCACGACGATGGCGGCGGCGGCCGTGGCGAAAGGGCACCCCTGCCAAGGTCGGGCCGCCTGGACGTGCACGAGCTGCGGTTTGCGCTCAACTCGTTCGGCCTGTTCCCCGACCCAGAGATCGTGGCCGCCTGGATGGGCGAGCAGGACCCGTCAGAGGAAAAGGGTACCGATCCCGATATAGCCTTGCCCAGTTTTCGCCTTTGGGGGCCTCCTGGGAGGCTTTCGCCGCCACCGCTGGATTCGCCTCAAAATTCTGGTCAGGGCGCACCCCGGGAGAGGTCTGTGGAGTAGCGGTACTGGTACCTCTTGGTTCCCCCAGCCTGGGCTTGCTCGGGGTGCCTGCGACGCGTCGGAGCTGATGGGCCTGTTTTCCACCACCACCACCACCATCCGTTGGAGGGGGACGGAGGAAGGAGGAGGAGGAGGAAGAGGGGGAGGAGGCAGACCCATCCCCCTCCAACTTATGGTGGTGGTGGTGGAAAACAGGCCCATCCGGAGCGCTGAGCCGAAGCGTTCGGCCTTCAGCTGGGAGCTCCCGAGGGGCCGTGCGCATCCCCGCCAGCTGCGCGGCAGACCGCTAAAGGTCCCCTCGGAGTGCACCTCGCCCCCGGGGCCTCTCGCGGGGTCCCGGCCCCCGGCCGCTCAGTTGGAGGGCCGCTCTGCGGGCCGGGCCGTCCGAGATCGACGACTCCAGGTACGACGACGACGACGACGAGGACGACGACGAGGACGACGACGACGACGACGACGACGACGAGGACGACGACGACGACGACGAGGAGGACGACGACGACGAGGACGGGGGGCGATCGGAAATGGGGAGGCGGGCCGGGCTGGGCAACTCCATGGGAGCAGGGGGAATCGGGGAGGGCGAGGGGGGGGGAGGAGTGAGAGGGGGGGAGGAGTGAGAGGGGGGCGAGAAGGAGGAGACGGAGGGGGCAGGAGGGGCAGGAGGGAGGAGGAGGAGGAGGAGGAGGGAGGACGAGGAGGAGGAGGAGGAGGAGGAGGAGGAGGAGGAGGAGGAGGGGACGGACATCAAGCAGTGACGAAGCACCCTGGCCTGCCTACAGGCCCACCAAAGATGTGATGGGAACCTCCTTTGCTCTGTCAAAACATGGTGTTCAGGCCATGTGCGGCCGATAACGCCTTGCTCAACATACATCTGCGTGATGCCATATGGACACTGTCTTGGCTGTCAGGGGATCCCTGCTCCGGGAGCACGTCGTGGCAGGCATGCAGGAATGCCGGGGCAGTCGATCCCGGCCTCGGGAAGGAGGCTGGGGCCCCGTTCTGCGCCCTCCGCGCGCGCGCGCCGTTCCCCGCGCCGTTGGCAAGGACGCCCTCGACAGGGCCGAGTTCCGCGAGCTGCTGCGCCTCAAGCTGGCCAGCGCCCCGAGCTCCGTGAGGCGGCCCCTTCCCGGCGCCTGCCATCTGGCGGGGGCCCAGAGAAGTTGGCACCAGCGCTGGCGTCGGCGCTCGCCTCCACCGGGGGCAGGTCCACCAGCTTCTCGCTCTGGGTGCCCCTGTTGCTCTGCCGTGCCCTCCCCTCTCTCCTGTTGCCGCGGCTTTTTGGCGGAGTGGGCACGAAGGTCGCTCCCTCCTCCCACCCACCCCCTCCCCTCGCCTCCTCTCCTCGCTGCGCCATCCTCCCCCCCCCGCCCTCCTCTCCCTGTGGCCCTTCTCCCTTCTCCCTCTCTCTTGCTTTTGGGCGCCATCGGCCTGGCCACCGGGGAAGAAGGCATCGAAGAATCGCACGATCTTCGATGGCATTCCATGCTGTCGGAGGCAGAAATGGAGGGTTGCCCTTCGATCGGTATCTCCGATCCGTGGATCGAAGACAGACCGACCTGCTGCCCTTCCACAGGGCATCGAAGGCACGCCTTTCGGCACGAAGCAGGCGGGGGGGCCCCGAGAGGGGGACGCGGGCCCTGGGCCCCCGGGGGGGCCAGCGCCTCCTCGGGGCCTGCGGCCCCGCGGTCTGGCGGCCCCCGGGGCCTGCAGAGGCCCCCGGGGGGGGGGCCTGGAAATGGGCACCAGCACCACCTCGGGCGGGGGGCGTCATAGGGGGGTGGCCCACACATAGGGGACCAGATCCCCGGATCGGAGTCATGTGTCATGTCACGGCAGATGGGGGGGTGGCCGTGTCATAGGGCGGTGCCCGCACGACAGATCCGCGTCATAGGGGGGTGTCATAGGGGGGAGGCCCCGGGGGCGTGCAGAAGAGGGAGGGCGTCCGAAAGGGGCCCTCTGGGGCCCCTTTTGGAGCCAGCGGGCCCCTTGGGAGCCCGTTTCTTCGCCCCGAGATTCGGGTCCCCCCCCCCCCATGGCAGCGGAGACCCATGCCAGGAAACACCCTGCTGGCCTCCAGGGTGCCCTGGGTTTCTTGAGTTTCGATGGCTCTGCGATGGAAGGCGCGATGTTCCCACACCGAAAGTCAATCGACGTCGTGGGGTCTCAGGGTTGGGTTTCTTGCGGAAGGCTTCTTATGGTCGAGTGCTTGCTGTACCACCCTCCCGACCAGCACAAGGGGGTGTCTCCACCCGGGGGGGGGGGAGGAACGGATCATGGACTCTGCTGCGGATGACACCCTCTTGGCCATATAAGGAGCCAGAGCATTGCCACCAGCACCGAGCGGAGGCCAGCGACTGACGAACCAAGGTGTGCAGCATCGTACTCTGGGACCGCAGACACTGGGCCGCATCCCTCTCTTCCTCCCTCCCCACCCCTCTCCCCGTCCCCCCCCATCCTCCCTCTTCCTTCCTTTCCCCCTCCCTCCCTCCCCATCCATGCCCCCCCTTCCTCCCTCTCTCCTCCCCCATTCCTCCGCCCACCCCGCACCACTGAGTCTGAATATCTCATCACCCCCCTCCCCGCCCATTGCGGACAAGAGAGGGGGGAGGCTTGGGCTGCTTTGCTGGTGGTGCGGGGCTCGAGTGCCAATTCTAAAGAAGCCCGCCGCAGGCGCCCGTCCTTCTCTGGAGCAATCCGCCCGCCGCTGGCGCCGATTTTTCTCCTGCAGAGCACACGTGGCGGGTCCGCGGGGCAGGCGGCGGGGCGTCCTTGTGTTTCTCCAGCGCCGCCGGCCCACCGCAGGCGGCAATGCTGTTTGAGGTCGGGGTGGATGGGTCGCAGGACGTGGGTCGCAGGGGCGGGGCGCGGTCTTGTATTCGCAGCAGCGGTGACCCCGCTCCAGCGTCGGCCCAGTTTCAGAGCTTCTGCTGAGGCTTCGTCCAATGGGACGGCGTGGTCTCTGCAGCGCTGGCCGTGCTCTTGCACATGGGTCTCGCTTCAGCGTTTGCCACGACATGTGTAAATCAAGCAGTGGCGAAGTGTCCTGGCCCGCTTATAGTCCTACCAAACACTGGTCTAAGAACCTTTCGTGGTTTCCACCAAATGTTACTTGACATCTCTGGCTGAGTCTGTCTTGTTATATGTTCTAATGAACTCGTTTTTGTTCTCAGGACATGTTTGGGTTCGGGTTTAAAGAACAGTTCGTGGTAGGCCTATAGGAATGCCGGGACGGTCGGTCCCTGCTCAAGTAAAGGAGTCATTGCCTTCCCCGTCGCCATCCTCCATCCACCTCCTGCCGCGTCCGTCCTTCATGTCCTTCCCAATTCCCCTCCGCTTGCTTCACCTCCCTCCCAGCTCTTAGGCAGCGTCCAGGCTCGCCTATAGCCCTACCAATCAATATCCTAAGAACCTTTTGTGGTTCCCACCACATGTTCTCAGAACATTTCTGGCGGAGTCTGTCTTGTTGTATCGCATCGGGTTTATGTTCTAAGAACATTGATTTCATTATTAGAACATTTTTGGGTTCTAAGAACATTTCGTGGCAGGACTATAGGAATGCCGGGACGGTCGGTCCCTGCTCAAAAGGTCGCCATCTCGGGGCCCTCGTCTTCTTCAGCTTGCGACCCCGCGAAAAGAGGGAGGGTGCCGAGCTCCAACATGCAGATCTCTCAGCCCACGACCTCTAGAGACCTAGACCTCCTGGCGACTCGGGAAGCAAGCGCCGAAGGGTTCTGGCCGCTCGGCGCTTCGAGAGGCCGACTCGGAGAGAACGCCGAGAACGTGCGGAGAGCCCCAGGTGCCAGCTTCACACAAGACAGCAAACCAGCCCAACCCAACCCAACCCGAAGGCGTCAAGTTGCCCGCCTTTTCAGTGGGGGGCTCGGGGAACTTTGAGAAAGCACATATGGAACCCGTACACCCCCCAACCCGATGTTCGGGTCTTCGTGTTGGGTTGGGGTGGTCTGGCAGGTAATCAGCTTCACACAAGACAGCAAAAGGGTGATGTCGGAGTCGAGGGGGGACGGGGGATGAGAGAGGAGGGTCTTATCTTCTTCATCCTCGGGCCCCTCCTTCTCCCCCATCCTTCTCCTCCCGCTCCTCCTCCTCTTCCTCCTCCTGCCCTTGACGGCCAGGAACTTTGGCTTAGCGTGTCGCGCCGCCGTTTCTGGCCCACCGTGCCTCGGCGCGGCACGCTGTCCACGTCTCCATTGTGCCAAGCGTCAGCGTCCCAAGCTTTTCCCAGCCTCCCGTCCCTCGAAGCTGAGTGACACGCTATCCGCTTGCAAGGCATAGCGTGTCGCCGGGGTTGCCGCCGCAACACGCTATGCAAAAGTTCCAGACCGCACCATGTTCGTTATCGTGCTCGGTTTCCTCCTCCCCCACCTCCCTGCTCCATCCCCATTGCTCCTTCCTCGTCCCCTCCTCCTCCTTCCCCCTCCTCCCACATCAGCCTCGCCCTCTTCCTCCCCCTCTCGTAGGCCTTTAGGGTCAAGGTGCACTTCGATATGGTACCTCCGTCCATGGCGTAGCCCAATGTCATGGCTACAATGCGGCTGACCTCCCTTTTGGTTCTCCAGTCGCTGTGCTGCGTCATCGCGCTCAAGCAGTCCCCAGATCCTCCGAGGCATGCCTACATCACCATGGCGCACGACGAGGAGGACACGCACGGGGTAAACCTGCTGCGCACGCTCCCTGTGGTACACGCGCTTCGCAAGGCTCGAGCTGTAAGGGACGGGGGTCGATGCAAACGTGGGTCGGCTAGAGCGCCGCATCTTGCAGGATCCTGCAAGGCCAGGGTTGCAGTGACCTGGGCCAGCGCGCGGGATCCTGCAGGATCCTGCGGGATCCCACGGAAGCCTGGACCGACCTGCTTTTGCACTGACCCGGGTCGGCGCGTCCCCGCGAGGTGACCGACCGTCAGATCATTGTGATGACCAACGCGACGCAGTTTGGCGACGGAACCAGTGTCAGGGATGCCTTTGGCAAGATGAGTGTCGACGTCTGGCCAATCCATCCCGTCGACATTCCAGAAGAGTTCCTGACCCGGAAGTACATGGCCAAGTGCAAGGCCAAGTGCGGCTTCACGTTCTTCAAGCTCCAGGCCTGGAGATGCACAGGAGTAGGAGGGGGAAGAAGTAGCATCAACAGGCGGAGGTGGTCTCTGCAGGTCTGCGCGGAGATCCATTGAGGCCCTGGGAGTTTTAAACAGATGTGGTAAGGGTAACAACAAACCTAAACCTTCATCCTCGATGCAGGCCTGGAGATTTACCCAGTTCGACAAGCTCATCATGTTCGACACCGACGCGATCGTCACAAGGAATTTCGACGATTTCTTCGAGCTCCCTGGCACATGGGCGCAGGAGGAGCGGTGGTGGTGCAAGCCCACCGGCTTCATGAGCGGGGGCTTCGTCATCCTGGAGCCCAGCGAGCGCGACTACCAGGGCATGATGCGCTTCGCCAACACAGAGGACATCCCAGCTGCAGACCAGTCCACCATCTCCGGCTACTTCGGCGTTGGCGGCCAGGTTTCTGAGTCCAGAACTGATGCAGATCCACCATGAGTTCCCCACGCGGCGTGTATGCATCTTTTCTGGCCTCGGAAGGTTGACGAGTCTCAGCTAATGCTGGTCCGCACCCTCTCCGGCTACTTCAACGCCAGCTCGTTGAGGCACAGAGTCCAGCTCATCGACAAGGAGAAGGTCGACTACGGCATGTGCCTGGACACCCCACGAGACCCTCGTCACCCCGACATGTTCAGTCATCCCCATATCCTCCCCCCCCATTCTCCCCTCCATTACTCAGGAGAGTGCAGACTACACACCAACACCGGCCTGGGCCAGGCCGATTCTGGGCCCAGTTGGAGGGTTTCTACGAAGGGCTTAGGCGACCCGTCCTCCTCCTCCTCCTCCTCCTCCTCCTCCTCCTCCCTCCCTCCTCTTCCTCCTCCTCTTTCCCTTCCTACTCCCCTCCTCCTCCCTCCTCCTCCTCCTCCTCCTCCCTTCTTCCTCCTCCTCGCCGCTTTCTCCTCCTCCTCCTCCTCTTCCTCCTCCTCCTACTCCTCCTCCTCCTCCTCCTCCTCTTCCTCCCTCTCCTCGCCCTCCCCTCCTCGGGTCGCCTGCGGCCCCGGGGGAAACCGTCCAGGCCCAGGAGCGGCACGTGCATCTCTCTGGCAAAGGCCCCGAGGGCGCAAACGCGACATCCGTCCTGGGTTCCTGCGTGGGCTTGGCCACGATCCTGTGCACAGTTCGCCGCTCCCCGGGGCCCCCTGGCATCCCCCCCACAGGCGACGAGAAGGGAAATGGAGGGGGAAAAGGAGGAGGAGGAGGAGGTTGAGAAGGAGGGGAGGAGGAGGAGGAGGAGGAGGAGGAGGAGGAGGAGGAGGAGGAGGAGAAGGAGGAGGATCGAGGAGGAGGAGGAGGATCGAGGAGGAGGATCGAGGAGGAAGGAGGGGGGAGAGGAGGTCCCCGGAGGTCTCCTCGGAGGTCGACGCGAGGGTCCTAGGAGGGTTTCTGGAGGTCTCCATGGGGCGGTGGACGGGTTGGGAGGCGGAGGAGGAGGAGGAGGAGGAGGAGGAGGAGGAGGAGGAGGAGGAGGAGGAGGAGAGGAGGAGGAGGAGGAGGAGGAGGAGGAGGAGGAGGAGGAGGAGGAGGAGAAAGAGAGAAAGAGGGCGCCAGGGCTTGACCTAAGACCGCCAGCAGCCCGCAGCTCGCAGCTCAACGGGGGAAGAGGAGCAGGAGGAGGAGGAGGAGGAGGACGAGGATGAGGAGGAGGAGGAGGAGGTGGCGGAGAGTAAGAGGAGGAGGGGGGAATGAGACCAGTGCAGGGGCTTGACCCAGAGCCGCCCGCAGCTCGAAGCTCGAAGTTCGAAGGGGGAGGACACGACAAGGCAGGAACACTTGCGAGCCATAGATTCGTGTCTTGGGACAGAAAATTGACCACCATGAGCGGTCGAGATTACATGGATTACATGGCGTCGTGTTGCGCATGGAAACGCCCACCAGCGGCTTCGCTGGGGCACGGCACACGGGGGGACACATCTATGTCGCCCTCCAGAGGCACCATCCAGCAAGCAGGGGCAAGTCATGAGGTCGCCACCCTACTGGTGTAGTCTTCTACTGCTTTGAACGAGTCGGGTTCTGGAGGGGGGTGGAGGGAGCCAGGAGCGGGAAGGGCGAAGTGGACCTCAACCGAAAAGAGGGGGAGATCAGTAGCCAGGGTCTGAACTCTGGGAACACGCCCCAAGCAAGGTTCCGAGGCTGAGTTTGAGTTCAGGTTGGGCACCTGAAGCATGAAGCATCGAAAGACACCTACCACCTGCTTTAGATTTGAGGAGATGGGTTGGCTGACATACTCTAGAGACGACTGAGAGCCTCATTATCATCATTCAGCTGACCTCGCGCTACCTCATCTCCGACCCTCTCAGAACCCGCTACCTCCTGAGGTCATGCCGTCGCCCAGCTCCGTCTTCCTCCGCCGCCCCGGCATTGCCCCTGCCCTTGCCCTTGCGCTTGCCGCCCTTGACCTGGCTGTGGACGCTCTCGTTGCTGATGCCGATCTTCTGAAGGAGAATCTCCGCGTCGCGTTCGAGGGCTCATTTGGGTGCACTGCCTGGCTTGCAGACCCCTTGTACTGAATCATCGTCTGTCAGACTGCCCCGTGAAGTGTGATGATATCCACGCCACCCGCATCGCGAATGTTGACTACTTGCTGCTGCACCGGTACCATGAATTGAATATTGTACTGCTGGGGGTTGTCGAGTTTATTCTTGTCGTAGTGGCATGGGCAAAGCCTGAAGAACGTGATGTGGTTCGGCAACATCATTAGGGCCTGCTCCATCGGTTTCTTGGATATTACGTTCCAAGATTGACAGAGCACCTTATTGGGGGGGCCTCGGGGATCGTCAGATCGGTCGATGTAGAGGTGCAGCTCACCTGTGCCATGAACGTGCGTGGCCAGGGCGGTCAGCTCGCGTGAGCTGTGCCCTCGCTCTTGCACTTCCCGTTTGTAGTCCACTCCAGCCTGTCTCAGAACAGCCGCGGTGGCCGCCTCCTCCGCCGAGAAGCTGGCGCCGAGAAGCTCCGAGGAGGGGGAGGAGGGGGAGGAGGGGGAGGAGGAGGAGGAGGAGGAGGAGGAGGAGGAGGAGGCTAGGAGGAGGAGGAGGAGGAGGAGGGGGAGGAGGAGGAGGAGGAGGAGGAGGAGGAGGAGGAGGCTAGGAGGAGGAGGAGGGAGGTGGGAGCAGCCGGCGCCGAGCAGCTCCGCCGCCTCGCGACTGCTGCCGAGACACGGCCTCGCTGGCCGCCGCTGGGCCGACCGCTCCGCCCGCCGTGGCCGCCCCGATCCGGGCCCCGGGTCGCGCTGGCGTGGCAAGTCTTCGCTGCAGCCCCCAGGGATATATACACACCACCACCGCCTCGATTCCTCCCTCCTCCATCCTCCCTCCCTCCTCCATCCTCACCTCCCTCCTCCATCCTCCTCCATCCTCACCTTCCTCTCCTCCCTCCTCCATCCTCCTCCCTCCTCCCTCGGTTCCTCCCTCCTCCATCCTCACCTTCCTCTCCTCGTTCCCGGGAGAGGGGCCCGGAGCAGGTCAGGGCCCGCTGGGCCAGCGCACCGCGGAGGAGGAGGAGGAGGAGCAGGAGCAGGAGCAGGAGGAGAAGCAGGAGGACCAGGAGGAGCAGGAGGAGGAGCAGGAGGAGGAGGAGGAGGAGAAGGAGCAGGAGGAGGAGGAGGAGGAGGAAGAGGGAGAGGGAGGGTGTGGTGGTGTATACCTTTGGGCCCCGTAGTCTCGCCCTCCTTCTGCGCGGTGCCGCCCTCGTCGGGCTTGCGCTTGCTGGTGGCTGCGGGCCAAGCTGCTTGAGGCTGCTCGGCCTCCCTCGCCTACTATAGAGGAAGCTACTGGACATGAGATCGAAGGTGCGCCTGCAGCTCTGACGGGTCATGAACTGGAGCCCGGCAACGTGGGCAGCAGTACGAGCCATCCTCACGATGGACCTGGCATGCCGTGCTCCTGGATGTCGTGCATGCACCTGCCCTGCAGGGCTGAACGAAGCCTTTGTGTGTACTGTCGGTGTTCGCGAAAACCGTGCCACGCGCAACACATGGACTGGCACATGTTGTCTGAGATGGTAATGCACAGAAGCCATGTTGTTGATGTAGGTGTGCCAGTAGTTGCCGACGGATATGTAGTCGACGCGCTTACCCACGTACGCTACATAGTTGATCTCCAGGTTCGGTGTCGTGGTCAGGGTCTTGGGTGTCTGACGGGAGATGGGGTACACGGTGGCCAGGAGGCGGGATGCTGACACTGCGCCAGTGGGTCCTAAGTTTTTTGTATGGGGTAACCAGTCACCGAGTTCCGAGCTCCTCATTCTGGAAAAGGTTCGTGGAGGTGCTATCGAACTCGGTGGTCATTTCGATTTCCTCATCTCCAACTTCGGCGAGCGAGTTGATGTCCGAAACAACCTTTGGGCCCACGGGCAAGCCGCATTATTGAGTTTCCCTCAGGCATCGATACTACTGAGGTGATTTCCAGTCTCGATGCGAATCGTCCCAAGAAGATCCCCCCAACCTGATGCATGCTCGCCACGAGAAGAGGCCCAAGCTTGATATCACTTACGACGGCGCCACCTAGCTTCCACTTCCAACGGAGCGAAACGCCAGAATCGGACTAGTGCCCGATTGCTGCTCAGAGAGATTGGGTGATCACCTCCTTCTACTGTAGCTGCTTCCCTGCATAGCTCTGTGAGCAAGCCAAAGTACTCGAGACTGGAGCTTCTCACCCGAACAGCTGTGGGGATAAAGCTTTCGATGCCTGGCACTGCGGGGTCGAGGACACGACTGAGGAAGACTGCTCGTTCTTTCCGTCTGCGGCAACTTGGGTTGTTCCCAGTAGCGACACATGGTCGCGAAGCTTGTGTCCACCGCCGCAATCCGACAGGCCAGATCACTGTGAAACGTCGAGCCGGCCAGAAGAATGCCGCCGAACATGCGAGCACGATCATTGACCACGCCAGCTGTAGGCATTGCGGTTGATCGAATCTCTCGATGTGCGTGTGTGTTTAGTAATTGCTGCAAATATTTCTACCACTGCTTCATGTTCTGTTGGATGGGTATTGCAATTGTGCTCGTGCATGTGCGCGGTGAGTATGCGCTCGTATGCTATGGACTTGTTGCTAAGCTTAATGCCCGTGTCCTCCTCCTCTCCTCCTCTCCCAAAGGGTTGCTGGATCATCATCGGGGTGTCCCGTCGCTTTCGGGCAACACAGCCGTGAGCAACGTGAGGTTCACCATTGCGCTGTCGGGGGGGGGTAAGAACGACGAAAAAAACCAAACAGGCCAAACACATAGATGATTCGCTTGAGTGCGATGGCAACGCCATGTGACAGATTCCAAGCCAGTGGTACTTCTGTAGTTCGGTAAAGTGTTGTGCACCATACTCTTGAGAAAGCAGCGGGTGTCCTTCAGATCAATTTGAGGCGATTCAGTTCCAACTCTTCGAGATCGCTTTGATGTACGCCTGCACTGGTGCAACAGCATCCAAATGCGTTCCAGTGGTGACGACTATGGAGGCGATGTTCGGCGTTTGGCCGCCGTGCGAAAGTGTAGCGCGATGAGCTTCAACCTCTGACGAGACCATTCGAGGCCCTCTTGCGTACATGGTGACATGATGGGATCATAGTCTACACCACCATCTCCATAGAGATACTCCTCCACATGTGGGGGCCAGCAAAGCATGTCTACCTCCATGCCACTATCGCCTGAAGGAAGTTGAAACCGATGGTTGAGATCTTGCGCTGTGGGCAAGGTCTTGACGGCTCTGCGGTGATTGCGACGACGAGGTCCAGTGACACAGGTTGAGAGAAGTCGAGATCATCTTGCATCGTCCGCTTTCTGACCATCACAGTCCGCTTGATTAAGTTCTGCCTTGAGTTCAGTTCGCCACCCTCGAACATGTTGCCGTCGCGTACGTCGAAGATTGGTACGCAGGTACTCATATCCTTCAACCGCTGAGTGAGAGAAACTTCCAATTCTGAATATGCATCCGATAATTGTTAGCGTACTTGACGCCGCGGCCGACGGACTTATATTATCTGTTGGGTTCTCCATCGATGCCCAGGCTGTGGCCCAGGTGCCTTGGCACAAAACGCGTTCCCGCCTCTCCCACCCTTTTTTGAGACCAATCCCCATTCCACGTTTGGTGTTTGTTCCTCCCGTAGTACTCGCGCATGCTCAGCTGAGGATGCCCCCATGCAGGAGAGGGGGAGGTGCAGGAGGAGGAGGAGGAGGAGGAGGTACAGGAGGAGGAGGAGGAGGAGGAGGAGGAGGAGGATTTCTCAGAATCCGAAAGGCCTGACCGTCAGCGATCCGTGGGAAGAGTATCTGCGCCGATGAATGCCTCGCCCACCCCCAGGCTTCTCCGTGCCGACCGGGCTCGGCACAACGAAGCGAGCACTCCCCGCGCAGGCGACCCATCCTGCAGCCGGCGGCGTCGGGCCCCACTGCGGCAGAGCGTGTGCCCGCGCGCGCTTCTCCCCCACAGCTCGCGGCACCCGATGCCAGCGCCTGTGGCTGACGATGTTCGGCTCCGCCTTCTCTTCTCGCAGTTCGGGCCACGCTCCACCGCTTCGTGGGCCCTGGAAACGACAGGGCCGTTTTTGTTACCGGTTCCGTTTGCCGTTTTTGCCGGTTCCGACGCCGTTTTTGTTACCGTTTCCGTCGCCGTTCGTTGTATGGGTTCCCGCTCCGGTTCCAATCCTGGAGCCGTCTCTGTTGCCTTTTCCGGTCGCCGTTTTTTTGCCGTTTCCATTTTCAAGGGACACTTTTTCGGAAACGGTGAAAAAACGGCCCTGCCGTTTCCGGGGCCAACTAAGCTCCACCATGCCCAGGTCCCCGTCATGGGCGAGTGTCATCGGAAGCTGGCTGTACTCCGTCCGCTGCGCATCATAGCACCGCTGGCAGTCGTCTGCGGTCGCGGTGGTCGGCGTCGGCGCCTGCTGCCCCTGCCCGCCCTCCTCGCACCCGCATGTCCCAGTGAGTTCGGTTTTGCAGTTTGTGGTGTCTGGCCTCAGGTTCGGGTCCCAAAGCTCGCTGGCATGTGTTTGTTTATGCTGCCGCGGCCCCCCTTCCTCGCATGCGCCGTTCCGAGCAGTGTAGTTGACTCGTGTGAACCCGTGGATTCGATCCACGGCGTGCTGAGCCTGGGACTCGCACACCGTGTGTGAAGAGCTCGTCAGAGTTGAAGAGTTCGGGCGTCCCTGGGACCAGATCGGGGGCATGTTGGGCCCTCCTGCGAGCCTGTCTGGGCGTCCTAAAGGCCTCTTGCGGTTTTGGGGCGCTCTGGGGCCGTTCCCGGGCTGTCCCCCAGAGCCTCTTCTTGGGGACAGCCCGGGAAACTTCTTGTGCGTGCGCGCTGTGAGGTTGTCAGAAGGTCCCCCTGTCACCCCTGAGGTTAGCTGCAGGGTTTGCTGCAGGCTCCATGAGCTGGGGCTGGAGGCTGTCTTCGAATATCCTGGGGGGGCCTGCGCCATCTCGGAGTAGTCCAGGGAGGGATCTCGTGATCTTGGGGCTGTCTTGGGGCCACCGAGGGCTCTACTCGGCCATAGGGGGGTAGCGAGATGCTGGTCCCCGCAGTGTCTGCAAGTCCCCGCCCCTGTCCCCCATAATCGGCCGTAGATGGGGAGCGACCGAATTGGCTGCAGGTCCCCCTTGTCATCCCTAACAGGCGCAGTGGAGGCCCCAGAACGGCCGGAGCCCCGATGAGGGAAGGCGGAAGACATCAGAGGAGAAGTAACCCCCTGTCGCCCCTAATCGGCGTTGGAGGGAGGCCTTGATGGCGACCCTGGGCCATCTCGGAGTGGTCCTGGGATCGCTCTTGGGAGCTCCGTGGGAACTACGGGAGTCTCTGCCTGGGACTGTTCTTGGGAGCTCTGTGGGAACTGTCGGAGTCTCTTGGCACGCGTCGGTGTCTTATGGGCGACTCTGGGGCATCTAAGAGGGTCCGCGGGACCGCTCTTGGGAGCTATGTGGGGACAATCGGAGTCTCTTGGGAGGCTCTGGGGCATCTCGGAGTGGTCTGGGGCCTGCCTTGGGGTCTGGGGGCTTTCTTGAGGGCATTCGGCGTTCGAGAGACGCCGAGAGGGTGCCGTGGCTCGAGGCACTCTCCTTCGGGGCTCGTTGGGAACCATCGAAGTCTCTTGGGAGACTCTTGTGCATATGGGAGTGGTCCTTGGAGGGTTCTTGGCCCATTGGGGGTTGCGGAAAGGGCGTCGTCTGGGCTCCCTTCGGCCCCTCTTCGAGCCCTCGTGAGGGTCTCTCTGGAGCCTCTAGGGTCCCTCTTGGCCCATGTCGGCAGCTCCTAGGGCCCTCTTGGCGCTGTCTTGGATGCCACGGCTCCATGAGGCTGTCTTGGGCTTCTCCTCGGCAGTGTTCGGGCCCTCTAAGGCCGTCTTGGGGCACTTGGCCGGGCCTCCTGGACCACCTGGACCATCTTGAGGCGATTTGGGGTGGCCCTGGAGCCGTCTGGGGCCGTTCTTGGTTTGAATTGGCGAGTTCATGGGAAACCTTTGGAAACCTAAGGAAAGCTTGCGATTCTGGCCTCGACAGAGCGTTACCGGCTCCAGTTCAGCCGTTTTCTGAGGCACCTGGCCCGTCGTCGGGCCGTCTTGGCCTGTCATGAGGCTCCGTTCGGGTCTTCGTGGGCCGTCCTCGCGCACCCCGGAGCGCCTCAGAGCCGTCTCGGAGCTGTCGGAGGCTGGCTTGAGGCCACCGAGGGGCTCTCTGGAGCCGTCGGAGAGCACCGGGGCGCTTCGGGCGCTCGGTGGCAGCTCTTTCACGGCAGCTCCTTTTCGCACGCGGGGCGCCCAGAACTGCAGCACGAATGGTGGGTGCCAGGCGCTGCGTTCGGCCAATGCCCGTCCGTCCGTCTCGCGCGCTCTGATCCCGACAGCGTAGCCTGATGACGGCTGGCTTCAGATGTGTGTCCCAACTCCCGCTGCGCCGCGGCCGCTCTTGCTGCCACTGCCCCTGCTCGCACGACACGGCGGCAGCTGAAGAGAGTGGAAGGGGCCTTGCTCCGAGCGCTCCGCCCAGAACTCGTGCACGTAGCTGAGGCGATGCTTGCAGCCAGAGCCATCCCTTCGCCTCTGTGTAGCAGATGACGTCTGGCCCGAGATCAGTTCCCCAGATCCTGTGGCGCCCCGTCTGAGCCTGCTGCCACTATCCGCCATTATCGCACTCGCTTGCCGCAGCGGTGCAAGTGGTGGCGCCCGGTTCCAGTATCGTCCCCCCCAGAGGGGGAGGGGAGGAGGAGGGGAGGAGGCGGGGAGGAGGGGAGGAGGAGGAGGAGGGGAGGAGGAGGAGGAGTAGCAGACATCCGGCGATATGATCTTTGCAACCCGCGGCCCCAGAGGTCCCAGCCACTCCCCAGGGGGGAGGCAGTTGTTTCCCCCCGGATGCGTTTTGGAAAGCCCCAGGGCTTGAGAAAGCACGCCCCAGTGGCCCACATCGACGAAACGCGCCGCGACTGCACAGATCGTGCCGCCGGAGATCCCCTGGGATTCTTGGCCCAGGCCGGCGGTCCTGGCGGGGGGGCCTCCCGAGGACGCGCACCCGGAGGGCCCCCCGCCGTTCGTGCACAAGTCCGACCGCAACAACCACTGCTTCACCAGCCCGGGCGGGCGGCGGCGAGGGGGAGCGGGCCGGTTCGCAGGCGGGGCTGCGCTTTTTCCAGCACGCGCGGTCGCAGTTTGGGCCCCCGGCTCCTGGCACGCTGGCTCCCCTCTTCCTCCTCCTCCTCCTCGCCCTGTTCTTCTTCCTTCTCCTCCTCCTTCCCTTCTCTTTCCTCTCTCTCTCTCTCTCTCTTTATGTGTGCTGTTTGTATGCTTTTGTTTGTTTGTTTTGGTTTGCCTCTATCTCTCTCTGCAGAACCAAGCGGACGACCTTTCCGACCTCGACCGCGTGAGGGCGCCTTGTGCGCGACTGCGCACTGCAGGCGTCCCATCCGCGCGGAAGCGGTTTAGTGCAAGTCTTAGGACCGCGTTGGTTTCGGGGGGAGTTCGCGGTTCCTAAGGTCATTATCGTTGTTTCTCCGCTGACGCTCCTCGCAAATGTGAGTGTACGTGGGCCCCCCCAAAAGCAGTCGCACCCTTACTTTGTCATGACGTTGATTACGGTCAGGATCTTTTGGTTGGTGCGACACGATGTCCACTTCCAACCGTCCAGGCGTCAGCGTCCTCCCGCCCCGCGGAGCGGAGCGACACGCTGTCCGCTTGCAGGGCATGGCGTGTCGCCGCGGTCGCCGCCGCGACGCGCTAAGGATTGAACGTAGAATGACACTGATGAACCATGGCCTGAACTGCAAGGCCACGTTGGGGCCACGAGGAAAAGTTCCTGAACGTAGAATTACACTGACGAGCCATGGCCTGAACTGCAAGGCCACTCGTTCGGGCACGCCCGCTTCGCCTGGGCACACAGACCACTCCCCAGACTTCCGACGACCATTTGTTTCTCTCTTTTTCTGGACGCTGGCCCTCGCGGCTCTCGCCCCTTCCCCCGGGCCTGGCCTCTCAACCCAGGTCTGCTCCTGTTGACCAGATGGCGAACACAGCAACGACGGTCGGGAATGTCCCAGAGAGCTCGCAGAGAGCCAAGAGGGCTTCAGATGAGGAAGCCGGAGCCGCAGGGTAGCCCCAGAGAGGCAGTTCCGGCTCCCGGGAACAGATCCCCGGCGCGAGAGCTGCTGGAGGCTGCAGCGTGTCCCGAGAGGCCCTGTCTAAGCCTCTCCCAGTACGCGTGCCCGGAGCTCCCCGAGCCCCGGGCGCTGTAGCCTATCGTGAGAGCTGGCCCCAGCTGCTGCTGGGACGAGACACGCAGCCACGGCTCGGCGGCGCGCCCCGGGGGCAAGGCAGAGGAGGCGGCCTCCTCGGGCTCAGAGGGCCTCCGGCCCTCTGAGACGTTCTCGAAGCCTTCTCCGAAGCCCCGCCGCCTTCTGGGAAGGGCCGGTCCTTCCGGAGCTCCCCGCCGGGCCTCCCCACGCCCTCCGGGCGCCCCGCCGTCCGGGCCTTGGCCTCCACGAGCTCGAGCGCCGCGTGCCGCGCGTTGCCACGCCTGGGCGCGCGACGCGCGGCGCGCGTCCCGAAGCAGTCAGCGTCTCCGTAGCAGGCCAGCCACAACTGGGGGAGCTGTGGTCCTCACCCCCCTGGGGGGCCCATCGATTTCGGCACTCCTCTCGAGAGATCGTCGATGCGATGGTTTCCTCCAGGCGGGGGGTAAGGACCACAGCTCCCCAAGTTGTGGCTGGTCGGCGTAGCCGTGCCGAGCCTCCCGCCCCGCGGAGCAGCCGCTCGCAGGCCGTTCTAGGCCTCCCCTGGATGAGGTCGGGGTATAGGGGGTCGGAGGATCGCGCCGCATTGCCGAGGCATCGACGATGCGGCTCGATGCAGAGCCCGATTGTCTCCACGTCGACGTCGCCGATGCGTCGCCGACGTCGGCGATGCATCGCCGATGCATCGCCGACGCATCGTCGATGCATCGGCGATGCGGCGCGATCCTCCGACCCCATCTACTCCGACCCCAACAAGGAGGCCTCTAGACATGGCGTGTCGTCGGGGCCGCCGCTGCGACACGATAAGCAAAACTTCCCGACCGTAGCATCCAGCACATGTTGTCGAAGCGCCAGAGGTGCGGGTACGGTCCGCTCAAAGCCGGCCACCGGGCCCTTCCTGAGGCGCGTCCCGATGGATGGTTCGAGGCGGCTCCAGCCGTGGCCCCGAGGGGGCCCACGATGCCCCTGGAACGCCAAACACCGACTGAAAATCCGTATCCTGGATCTTCGATCTTCGATCGTGGAGGGGTTGGAGGGCAAAGCCTACCAGTTTCTGGAAGGGCAACACCTGGGGCCGATGCCAAATACCGCTCTCGCGTCCTGGCCATCCGCGTCTGTGGACACACTGGGCGCCTTGACCTCCACAGACACTTGCGGGGTGGATGCGCCTATGGACAGCGTGGCCGCTGCCCTCGGCGCGGTGCCAGGTCGGAGGCGAGGTATAGATCCGCCCACGGCATGCTCCTGCCGTAGTTAGAGCCCTGAGGCCCGACGTTGCCAACAAACATGCGGCATCGTGACACTCCGCGCCCGGAGCCCCGGGCCCCCATCCTGCTGCGTCATTTTTCGAGCCGGATCGGTGTGTGAGGGCCCCGGGGCCCGAACAAAGACGAGCACGCCCGGCTCGAAACAGTGGAGTCGCCAGGATCTCAGGGCGCAGGTCCCACGTGTTGCTCCAACGGAGGGCCGGAGGGGGGCGTATCCAGAGGTGCGGGCCCTCGCGGTCCCGGCTCGTCGGCCGCGACCCCAGGGATGTATACAGCGCGGCGCGTCGCGGACACCCCGCGCGTAGCCTTCAGTCGGGCGTGTCCCTCTACAGGAGGAGAATTCAAAAATAGTATGAGAAAGATAGTCTGGGGACGATTGTTTGCCTATTTTTGTGCATTTTCGCCTAAAATCTCCCTGTAGGGGCACAGGCCCGACCTAAGCGTAGCCCACCCATGGGATTCGGGGGAACGTAAGACTCGAGTAAGCCGGAACTCGGGTCTGCCGCAGTTGTTTGACCAGCGCGTCCTGGATTTTGACGGTCTGGTTTGCGTGAGATGTTTGCAGCGGGAGTTCGTGTCAAATTTCAGACAAGTTCTTGTCATTTTCATGATGGCCCCGTCGGGCCAACCCGAGTCCCACCGTACCCGAGTCTCACGTCTCCCCGAGGGATGGAGCATCCATGGGATCACGCCTTGATGCGGTGGGATCGTGTGAAATCGACGCGGCGGCGACCCCTTCGCGGGCGTTCCTGGTTCAACACCGCCAGTGGCCAGGAAGCGTCGGACATCGAGTGAGAGCTGCGCTGTTGGAAGGCCGCGATCGTTCAAGGCTGGCGACTCACGCTGTGTCCCAAACCAACGTCAACGTCGTCACGAAACGAATTCCTGACGCGTCGCGTAACCCCACCAGTGGTTGCTCGTAGCCCGAGCCAACTCTGCTGACGCTGTGGGCGCCTTCGCCTGCGGCCGCGACTGATAAGTAACCCCACCAGCTTAGGTTGCTCGTAGCCCTGGCCAACTCTGCTGACGCTGCCGGCGCCTCCGCCTGCGGCCGCGACAAAGAACCTTCAGCTAGCTTTGCCTAGCTTTCGACTTGTTTCGCGAGCCCGCGTACGAAAAAGTAACCCCACCAGCCCATCTAGAGACGATGCCCCAGGAGTTGCCTCGATCAGGGAAGTGGGCAGCACGCAGAGGAAGAGTCCCTCGTGGAGCGCTCTTGGGTGCCTCGGGGAGCCCCTTGGGGCCTCTTGGGGGTCTCTTGGGAGCCTCCTGGAGGTCTCTTGGGCGCCTCTTGGAGCCTCCTGGGCGCCTCTTGGGGCCCTCTTGAGGCGCCCCTTGCCGTATCCAGGCCGCGATGGCACGGATCGGCGGCGCGCGCCCAGGGGGGAAGGCAGAGTGGGCCGGCCTGGTCAAAAAGGCGGGGGGGCTCCTCGGAAGCCCTCGGGCCTTCTCTCGGGAGCGGAAAAGAGGGGGGTGGGGGGGGGGATATCATGGCGCGGGCCATGATTTTTCCTCAGATTTCATGGCGCCTCTTCTTGTTTCCTTACGTCCCTGGTCCCCCCGCTGGGCCGCGCACATGCCGCCGGTCATGATTTGCACCCCCCCCTCTTGGACACCCCCCTCTTGGCCGCTCCCGATCCTCAGGAGGGACGGCGGGACTTTTCGGAAGTACGAGGGCTTCTGAGAAGAAGCCCATCCCAGACTTTGAGTGTAGCAGGTCGGAGAAGAAAAGACGGCATGAACATAAGCTTTCGGCGCTCCGCGCGGATTTCTTGGATCCGCGCTGGGCCCCCTCCCGCGGCGCCTCCGGCGCCGCGCGCCAGGGAGAGGGATTCAGCGCGGATCCAAAGAATCCGCGCGGAGGGCCAAAAGTTGATGTTCATGCCGTCTTCTCCTCCTCTTAGTGGGTTTACCCACTCTGCCTTCCCCCCTGCGCGCCGTCGAGTGAAGACGTGTGCGTGCTCGCCGCCCGTGCTCGTGCGTCACCGTCCGCCGGCCCATCGCACCGAGCGCCCTCACGCCGGAGTGCAAGAGGCACAGGCTCGGCGCTCTGTACCGCCAGCACCTGTGCGAGGCGACGGCCACGCTGGGGATCGCGTTCGACGAGCGGGACCAGTACTGCGGGTGAGCGGCGTGCGGGGCCCCTCTCGTCGAGATCAAAAAGACCCCCCTAACCCGAAAAACACGATGAAGACGTGGCCTCACTGAGGTCCCCGTTTCCGCGCCAGGGATAACATATACATATATATATATATACATATATATATATATATATATACATGTGTATGCATGTATGTATGCATGCATGTCTGTCTGTCTGTCTGTCTGTCTGTCTGTCTGTCTGTCTGTATGTATGTATGTATGTATGTATGTATGTATGTATGTATATGTTTATATACATATATATGTATATATATAGATATAGATATATGTGTGTGAAAGAACGCGTCCGCAGCGCCGGGAATACGGAAAGCGGGGCCCCAACTTCAAGCTACCTCCCCCCCCCTCCCTTCCAAAATGGGGGGGAGAGCTTCCGAAGCTACCCCCCCCCCTCCCTTCTGTAAGGGTTTCTAAGCTAGGGGGGGGCTAAAGAAGCTAAGCTATGGCTTCCCCCCCCCTCCCTTCCTAAGCTAGGGGGGCCCTGGCTAAAGCTTCGAAGCTATCCCCCCCCTCCCTCCCTTTTCCCGAGCAGAAGGTGAGCCCGGGCTTCCCTTTCAAAGGGGGGGGGGGCTTAGGAAGCTAACCCCCCCTGCTTCTTTTTTTGGTCTGGGCACGGGGGGGGGCGGCTTCAAGCTACCCCCATCCCCCCTCCTTTGCAAAGGGGGGGGGGGCTTCCGAAGCTACCTCCCCCCCACCTCCTTTCCGGGGCTCTGCCAAAATGGCGGAATCCTTGACGACAGGTGCGCACCGCAGCGCTAGATAACGCACTGGAGAATACCGTCGACCCCTGGTTCTTTTTCTTGTTTTCTTGTTTTCTCGGCCCCTGGTTCGTAGTCTCGTTTTCTCGGGCCCTGATTCCTTTTTATCGTTTTCTCAGTTTCTCGGCCCCTTGTTCGTTTTCTTGTCTTCTCTTGTTTTCGGCTCCTGGGTCGCGGTCTCGTTTTCTCAGACCCTGGTTCGTTTTCTCGTTTTCTTTGCCCCTGGGTCGTGGTCTCGTTTTCTCAGACCCTGGTTCGTTTTCGTGTTTTCTCGGCCCCTTGGTCGTGGTCTCGTTTTCTCGGGCCCTGGTTTGTTTTCTCTTTTTCTCTGCCCTCGGGTCGTGGTTTTGGTTTTTCGGGCCCTGGTTCGTAGTCTCATTTTCTCGTTTTCTCCGCCCCCGGTTGGTGGTCTCGTTTTCTCTGACCCTGCTTCGTTTTCTCGTTTCCTCGTTTTCTCGGCTCCTACGTCGTGGTCTCGTTCTCTCGAACCAGTTTTCTGGTGATCTCGGCCCTTGGGTCGTGGTTTCCTCGGACCCTTGTTTGTTTTCTCGTTTTCTCGTTTCTCGGCCCCTGGGGCGTGGGTCGTTTTCGTGTTTTCTCGTTTCCTCGGCCCCTGGGTCGTGGTCTCGTTTTCTCGGGGTCTGGTTCGTTTTCTTGCTTTAATTGGTATTCTCGGCTTCTGGGTCGCGGTCTCGTTTTCTCAGACCCTGGTTCATTTTCTCGTTTTCTCGTTTTTCTTGGCTGCTTGGTCGTGGTCTCGTTTTCTCGGGCCCTGGTTTGTTTTCTCTTTTTCTCTGCCCTCGGGTCGTGGTTTTGGTTTTTCGGGCCCTGGTTCGTAGTCTCATTTTCTCGTTTTCTCCGCCCCCGGTTGGTGGTCTCGTTTTCTCTGACCCTGCTTCGTTTTCGCGTTTCCTCGTTTTCTCGGCTCCTACGTCGTGGTCTCGTTTTCTCGAACCAGTTTTCTGGTGATCTCGGCCCTTGGGTCGTGGTTTCCTCGGACCCTTGTTTGTTTTCTCGTTTTCTCGTTTCTCGGCCCCTGGGGCGTGGGTCGTTTTCGTGTTTTCTCGTTTCCTCGGCCCCTGGGTCGTGGTCTCGTTTTCTCGGGGCCTGGTTCGTTTTCTTGTTTTTGTTGGTGTTTTCGGCCCCTGGGTCGTGATCTCGTTTTCTCGGGCCCTGCTTCGTTTTTTCGTTGTCTTGTTTTCTCTGCCCCTTGGTTCGTTTTCGCGTTTTCTGTGCCCTTGGTTCGTGTTCTCGTTTGCTCGGACTTTTGTTCGTTTGCTCGTTTTTTCGTGTTCTCGGCCCCTGGGTCGTGGTCTCGTTTTCTCGGGCCCTGGTTCGTTGTTTCGGTTTCTTGTTTTCTCGGCTGTTGTTTTTGTTTGTGTTGTTTTTGTTTCGGGCCCTGGTCCGTGATCTCGTTTTCTTGTTTTCTCGGCCCCTGGGTCGTGGTGTGATTTTTTCTCAGACCCCTGTTAGTTGTCTCGTTTTCTCGTGTTCTCGGCCCCTGAGTCGTGGTCTCGTTTTTTGTTTTCTCGGCTCCTGGATCGTGGTCCCGTTTTCTCGGACCATGGTTCGGTTTCTCGTGTTCTCCGATTCGCGGTCCTTGGATTGTGGTTTTATTTTCTCTGACTTTGGTTCGTTTTCTCGTTTTCTCGTTTTCTCGGCCCCTGGGTCGTGGTCTCGTTTTCTCGGGCCCCGGTTCGTTCTCTCGTTTTCTCGTTGTCTCGGCCTCTGGGTCGTGGTGTCGGTTTCTCGGGCCCTGGTTCGTTTTCTCGTTTTCTCGTTTTTTCGGCTCCTGTGTTTTTGTCTCGTTTTCTCGGCCCCTGGGTCGTTGTCTTGTTTTCTCGTTTTCTTGGCCTATGGGTCGTGGTCTTGTTTTTGTCTGACCCTGATTCGTTGTCTTGTTTTCTTGTTTCATCGTCCCCTGGGTCGTGGTCTTGTTTTCTCGGACCCTGGTTCGTGTATTCGTTTTCTTGTTTTCTCGGCCCCTGGGTCGTGGTCCAGCTTTCTCGGACCCTGGCTTGTTTTACCGTTTTCGCGTTTTCTCTGCCCCGTGGTCGTGGTTTCGTTTTCTCGGACCCCGTTTCGTTGTCTCGTTCTGTCGTGTTCTCTGCCCCTGAGTCGTGGTCTCGTTTTCTTGGGCCCTGGTTCGTTTTCTCGTCATCTCTGCCCCTGGGTCGTGGTTTGGTTTTCTCGGGCCATTCCTGGTTGTTTTTTGTCGCGTGTTCTCGTCTTCTCTGCCCTTGGGTCGTGGTTTCGTTTTTTGGTCGCTGGTTAAGTTTATACTTTTCGCGTTTTCTCTGCCCCTTGGCCGTTGTCTCGTTTTCCCGTTTTCTCGGTTCCTTGGCCGTGGTCTCGTTTTTCTCGGGCTTTGGTTTGTTTTCTCGTTTTCTCTGCCTTTGGGTCGTGGTTCAACTTTTTCGGGCCATGGTTCGTTTTCTCGTTTTCTTGTTTTCTCTGCCCCTGGGTCGTGGTTTCGTTTTCTCTGACCCTGGTTCGTTTTTTCGTTTTCTCTGCCCCTGGGTCGTGGTCTCGTTTTCTCTGACCCTGGTTCGTGTTCTCGTTTCGTGTTTTCTCGGCGCCAGGGTCGTGGTCCAGATTGTTTTCAGACCCTGGTTAGGTTTCTCGGTTTCTCGTTTTCTCGGCCCTTGGGTCGTGGTTTCGTTTTCGCGGACGCTGGTTTGTTTGTTCGGACCCTCGGTTTTTCGGCGCTTGGTTCGTAATCTCGTTTTCTCGGGCCCTGATTCCTTGTTCTCGTTTTCACGTTTTCTCGATCCCTGGGTCGTGGCCTCGTTTTCTAGGACCGATATGTGCGTTGTCAGTGCCTGGGCCGTGGTCTCGTTTTCTCGTTTTCTCGGCCTCAGGGTTGTCATCTCGTTTTCTCTGACCCTGGTTCATTGTCGCGTTTTCTCGTGTTCTCGGCTTCTGGTTTTTTGTTTCGTTTTCTCGGGCCTTGGTTCGTTGTGTCGCTTTCTCGTTATCTCTGCCCCTGGATCGTGGTCTCGTTTTCTATGACCTTCATTCGTTGTCTTGTTTGTTGTTTTGTCGTCCCCTGGGTTGTGGTCTTGTTTTCTCGGACCCTGGTTAGTTTTCTCGTTTTCTTGTGTTCTCGGTCCCTGGGTCGTGGTCAAGTTTTCTCGGGCCCTGCTTTGTTTTATCGTTTTCTTGTTTTCTCGGCCCCTGGATCGTGGTCTCTTTTTATCTGACCCCCTTTCGTGTTTTCGTTGTCTCGTTTTCTCGGCTCCTGGGTCGTGTTCTCGTTTACTCGGGCCCTGGTTCGTTTTCTCGTTTTCTCTGCCCCTGGGTCGTGGTTCCGTTTTCTCGGCCTGGGCCGTGGTCTCGTTTTTCTCGGGCCTGGTTTGTGGTTTCGTTTTCTCATGTGTTCGGCCCCTGGGTCGTTACCTCGTTTTCTCGGACCCTGGTTCATTGTCTCGTTTTCTCGTTTTCTCGGCTCCTGTTGTTTTGTTTCGTTTTTTTTTTTCTGACCCCGTTTCGTTTTCTCGTTTTCTCGTTTTCTCTGCCCCTGGGTCGTGATCTCGTTCTCTCGGGCCCTGGTTCTTTGTTTCGTTTTCTCGGACCCTGGTTCGTTTCCTTGTTTTCTCAGCCCCTGGGTCGTTGTCTCGTTTCTCTGGCCCTGGGTCGTCGTCGTCGTCGTCGGTCGTCGGTCGCGCGTCGTCCGTCGTCCGTCGTCGTCTTCGCATGACCTCGTCCTCGTCGTGACGACCAAGACGAGGTCATGCGAAGACGGCGACAATGACGGCGACGGCGGCGACAACGACGACGAGGACGACGACGGCGTCGTACGAAGACGTCGAGCGACGGCGACGGCAACGACGACGGCGGCGGGGGAGGATCGTCCGGCAGGGGGAGTTCAAGGTAGCTAAGCCGCCCCCTTCCCTTTTGGAAAGGGGGGGCGGGAGGGGAGCTTCGATTCCGGCAGGGGGGAGAAAAATGGAGGGAAGGGGGGGGGGCTTCAAGCAGCCCTTCCTTTCGTAAGGGAGGGGGTAGCTTCCCGGGTGTCGGCGGGGGAAGGGCCTCCCTTACGCTTAAGAGGGGGGGGGCTAAGGCTAAGGGGAGGGGGGGGTAGCTTCCCGGGTGCCGAAAGGGGGGGAAGGGGGGGGCTGCTAAGCCCCCCCCCTTTGGAACCAAAGGGGGGAAGGGGGGGGTAGCTTCCGGCAGAGGGGGGTCAAGGGGAGGGGGGGGGGTAGCTAAGCCCCCCCTCCTTTTTGGAAAGGGCGGGAGGGGGGGGAGCTTCGGAG